AGTGCTGATGCCACCAAAGGGGAACAAGCCCTTGAAGTTGTACATAGCTGCAGCAGAGGATTCATTGGGAGCTTTCTTAGCCCAAGACAATGAAGAAGGCAAGGAGCAAGCTGTTTATTACCTTAGTAGGTTTTTAAATTCTTGTGAATGTAAATATTTAGCTGTAGAAAAGCTTTGTCTTGCGCTGTATTTTGCTGCAATTAAATTAAGATATTACCTTTTGCCTACAACTGTCTTGGTAATTGCAACCACAGATTTGGTTAAATATATGTTATCTAGACCTATGTTGAGGGGAAGAATTGGCAAATGGGTATTAGCCTTGTCAGAATTTTACTTAGAATATGTTTCTCAAAAGGCAGTAAAAGGACAAGTTTTAGCCAATTTTTTGGCAGACCATCCATCTCAAACAAAGAGTCAAGAGATAATGGAACTTGGTATGGCTAGTGTCGAGCCATGAAAGCCAATGGCCTAACTGAAATTGGTATAGTGATTAAGTCGCCACAAGGAATAAAAACCACACATGGTTTCAGAGTAGATGAAATTACTTGTTCTAATAATCAAGCTGAATATGAAGCCTTAATAGTGGGATTGGAAATTCTTATTGGACTACAAATTCGTGCAGTTGACATATTTGGAGATTCTCAATTGGTGGTTAACCAAGTGAAAGGGATTTTTAAATGTCAAAGTATAAGCATGCTGCCATATTATGTTGTCGCATTACATTTGCTCTCTCAGTTTCAAATAGCAAATGTAACTCATGTTCCAAGATTCTTGAATAATAGAGCTAATGATGTGGCTCAGAAAGCCTCGAATTTCAAAAGGAATAATGATACCCAACGGCACATAAGCCAAACAACATACCATAAATCTATACCACCCTTAAATAAAAGGAATGTGGTCCTGGAAGTCAATCATAATGATTTACAGGAACAAGATTGGAGGCATCCAATAATACAGTACTTGGCTGGCCCATCCTCTAAGGCCAGCAGAAGAATTAAATTGCAATCTATGCAATACATCATATATAACAATGATCTCTACAAAAGGGGGGGATGGTCTATTATTGGAATGTTTAGGACCAAAGAAACATTAACAGCTATGGCTGAGGTTCATGAAGGCATCTGTGGTGCACATCAGCCTGGTGTAAAAATGAGATGGATGCTTCGAAGACATTCCTATTATTAGCCAACTATCCTTAAAGACTACATAGAATATGCAAAGGGTTGCCAGGCATGTCAAAAGCATGGCACAATAAGGCATGTGCCCATAACTGACCTGCATGCAGTAGTAAAGCCTTGGCCATTCAGAGGTTGGCCAATGGATATGATGGGGAAAATACATCCACCCTCTTCGAAGCATCATTGTTTCATTTTGGTGGCTACTGATTATTTCACCAAGTGGGTTGAAGCTAAGCCATGTGAGGTTGTAGACCAGAATGAGGTCATTGGGTTCATCAGGGATTTGATCCATAGGTTTGGCATCCCGCAAACCATAACTGTTGATAATGGGACTGTGTTTGATGGAAAAATGGTGAGGTCTTTTGTGGCTGAGTTTGGAATTAGCCTTATTAATTTCACCCCCTATTATGCACAAGCTAACGGCCAGGCTGAATCATCCAATATGTCCTTAAAGAAAGGAATACAAAAGTTTGTGGAAGACAATCCTAGGGATTGGCATAACTTGTTGTTGGATGTATTGTGGGCTTATAGAACTTCTCCAAGGTCAAGCATAGGAGTTACTCCGTATGCCTTGGTGTATGGGCATGATGTTGTATTACCTGTGGAAATTAATGTTAAGTCTTTGAGGGTAAGATGCCAAGACCAGCTAGATTCTGAGCAATACCACCAGAGTATGTGCTTGGAATTGGAAGGACTAGATGAGGCCATAATTCTGGCATTAAATAGCATTCTCTTTCAAAAGAAGAGAGCAGCCAAAATTTACAATAAGAAAGTCAAGCACATTGGCTTTGATGAAAGTGATTTGGTGTGGAAAACTATACTCCCAATAGGTATTAAAAGCCATAAGTTTGGTAAATGGGAAGTAGCAGCTCCAGCTCCTTTGAGCTTGGGTACATCTAACACCGTCAGTAGGTCTTGAGGGGGAATGGCCAGGTGCACTTCCATATTGGTCACCCACCAATTTTGGTATCTCTTCAAAATGTTACCTTGGAGAAGGAAGGGGAACACAAGAGTACTCAAATGATAAGTCAGAATTTGTTTTTCTTCATAAAGAGTTAAATACATTTTGCCATAAATTGGCCCAAAAATCATTACAATGCCTTAATTGTTCTTTTACAACAGACTTCCTATTTTTAAATGAGGGAGCCAACTGAATGGCCGTGGTCATTTCTTGCTTTCGATCGGCCAATCCTTGGTTGGTGATCTGCAATTTTGTGTCAGTCCGAATTAAGGCTTGATTCACTGCAGACAGCTCCTCCTCAAGTTGAGCTTTCTTCTCCAGTAGTTGAGTTCGAAAATGGGAGACAGAGGAATGCTGTTCCTTCAGCACTGAGACTTCAGAGTGTACTGCGGAAACAAAGCTCTGATCTCTGGCTAATCTCTCCTCTGCAACCTTGGCAGTATGACAAATGTTGATATAAAAGTCAATAGTAGCTGCTGCCTGAGATAGATGACTTGAGACAGTCATGCAGGATTGCTCAACAGCTTTGCAGCACTGCAGGAAGCCATTTCTTATTATAGGCCTTTGTAAAGCCTCGAAAGGAATCCTTATAAGCCATTTCGTGAATAAGGAGAAATCGTCTCTTGAATCGCCAAATATCTCGACTTTCCATTATGCCAATCAAATCCATTCTAAAAATTAGAAATCAACAAATAAAAGAAAAAGTTAGTGGACCTGACCCATTGAATCATGACTATATCCGTTATTCTGATATTCAAATTCGATAAAGATGAAATTGGACCAGTTGACCTTTTTTTTTTATTTCATTTCTTTGGACTTCACAAGAATTTGTCGATATTTCCAATTAAATCTTCTTGTTCCTAGATGTTCCATAGGAATAAATTGTTATTCCGTTCCTCCGCGGAAAAAGGTTTAGTTTATTCCAAGTTACAACATAAAAGATTTTTTAATATCTTTCTTTGATTCCAAACCAAGATTCATTTTAATCTATATAATTTTATATAATTTAATTAAATTAATAAATAAATTTGAAATTTAATTCATTTTAATTTCTATCTATATACTATATAAGAATACGATTTACCTATTTAGATGTATATCTATCAGATTGTGGCTTCATGTACCAAACATTTCCATATCAACCCATCCGATATTTTTGTTCCGACAATGTAGTGGAGAATGGATGCGAGAAAGATACTTTCATTTCCAGTCTCCTATTTATATTTTTTTATTTAATATTGTATTGAATTTAATGAAAAAATAGAAAATTCTCTTTTTTTCTAACAGATAAAAATAAATCGAAAAATATTCGAAGTATCTTTCTTTCTTTGACCCATGGAAAGATATACTTTGGAGTTTTAGATTCATTTGAAGGAAAACGAAATATAACAAAGAAGACACTAAAAGAAAATGAAAAAAAATAGAAATAAAAAAAGTAAATTAATAAAAAAAATTTATGATACTGTAGTAGTTTAGTATACATATAAATTAGAAGAATCTATAAAAGGATTAATTTTATCAATATCACGAACAAGATCCAAGAATAAGATTAAGATTAGTTGATGGAACAAGGGAATAAGTCTGAGGATCAACTGGTAGCGAGAGAGGGAGCCGTTTATTCTTATTCCTTGAACAGTTCTTTCAAAAAATTTATCTATCTGATTCATAGGTTATAAGAACACAATTCATAGTTCAGATACTTAGGCTTAGTAAGAATAAGAAGGAATAATCGAATTGAGTTCGTGGATTTACCTAGGTCAGGGTTATAGACCAATAAAGGATTTTGATCTTCGAAACCCATTAGAAGGGGCAATGTGCGAGAAATCAAATCATACATAAATGATCGAATCTTCAAACGCCCTGAAAATGTTATGAGGTGTTCGGAAATCGTCAAAGTAGTTGAATAGGAGGATTATTATGACTATAGTCCTTGGTAAATTTACCAAAGACGAAAATGATTTATTTGATATTATGGATGACTGGTTACGTAGGGACTGTATCATTTTTGTAGGCTGGTCCGGTTTATTGCTCTTTCCTTGTGCCTATTTTGCTTTAGCGGGTTGGTTCACAGGTACAACCTTTGTAACTTCATGGTATACTCATGGATTGGCTAGTTCCTATTTGGAAGGCTGCAATTTCTTAACGGCCGCAGTTTCTACTCCTGCTAATAGTTTAGCACATTTGTTGTTACTATGGGGTCCTGAAGCAGAAGGAGATTTTACTCATTGGTGTCAATTAGGTGGTCTGTGGACTTTTGTTGCTCTCCATGGCGCTTTCGGACTAATAGGTTTCGGGTTACATCAATTCGAACTTGCTCGATCTGTTCAATTACGACCTTATAATGCAATTGCATTCTCCGACCCAATTGTTGTTTTTGTTTCTGTATTCCTGATTTATCCACTAGGTCAATCTTGTTGGTTCTTTGTGCCTGCTTTGGCGTAGCAACTATATTTCAATTCATCCTCTTTTTTCAAGGATTTCATAATTGGACGTTGAACCCATTTCATATAATAGGAGTTACAAGTGTATTGGGCGCGGCTTTGCTATACGCTATTCATGGTGCTACTGTAGAAAATACTTTATTTGAAGATGGTGATGGTGCAAATACATTCCGTGCTTTTAACCCAACTCAAGTCGAAGAAACTTATTCAATGGTTACCGCTAACCGCTTTTGGTCCCAAATCTTTGGTGTTGCTTTTTCCAATAAACGTTGGTTACATTTCTTTATGTTATTTGTACCAGTAATCGGTTTATGGATGAGTGCTCTTGGAGTAGTCAGTTTAGCCCTGAACCTGCGTGCCTATGACTTTGTTTCTCAGGAAATTCGTGCAGCGGAAGATCCTGAATTTGAGACGATTTGGAAGATATAATCGGAGGACATGTATGGTTAGGTTCCATTTGTATACTTGGTGGAATCTGGCATATCTTAACCAAACCCTTCGCATGGGCTCGACGCGCGCTTGTATGGTCTGGAGAGGCATACTTGTCTTATAGTTTAGGTGCTTTATCTGTTTGTGGTTTCATTGCTTGTTGTTTTGTCTGATTCAATAATACCGCTTATCCTAGTGAGTTTTACGGACCTACTGGACCAGAAGCTTCTCAAGCTCAAGCATTTACTTTTCTAGTTAGAGACCAACGTCTTGGGGCTAACGTGGGATCCGCTCAAGGACCTACTGGTTTAGGTAAATATCGGCCAGCTACTTTAAGTGGTCGGCCATGGTGGGAGATGATCAGCACATTGAAAACAAGCTAGGGGTAGGGTGGCCGACCAGAAGAGGTGGCCCAAAGACCAATAAGACCAGTTATCAGACCAGAAAACTGGCTGGCAGGAAGAAAAATGGTCTCCAAGGGGAAATACTGGTCTCCCACCCTTGTACCACTTTCCAAACAAGGAAAACAAGGTTTGTACCAAAAACAAACTAAAAAGGATGCAAGACAAAAGTTCGGAAGGCAAAGCGCGCAGCCAAGAGCCTCAAAAACTAGTCTACAGGCATCAAAAGTGGTATACAACCACAAAAGTGGTCTCTCGGACCATAGTGTTCCTCTAGGTAGAGGCAACAAGGCATGGTTCAAAAACCACGCCAAACGAAGAACGTTAAGCGGTCCCGAGACAAGGCACGCAGCCGAAGGCTCCAAAAGCCGAAAACTAGTCTCCAAACGGGAAAAGTGGCCTACGACCACAAAAAAGTGGTCTACGACCACAAAGAGATGGTCTACAAGACCTCTCCCTCTCTCCGGGAAGAGAAAACAAGATTCGGTTCACAAATCGAGCCAAAACACAAAGAGTTCAGAGGCCTGGAGGTAAGGCTCTCAGCCAAAACTCTAAAACCTCGAAACGAGCGTAACATGCACAATCACTAAGCGCTCAGTCTTAAGGTCGGTCAAAAATGGGGTGTCTAAAGTTGCCCCTCTTTGACAGAACTTGGAAGTCATAAGTGACGGGAGTGAATGTCAAAGCCTAGAGACGACCCATTTTTGACAAGGCCGAAGACTTAGACACACAGGCAAGATAACAAAGAGATGCGCCCGCAGGCTGGGGCAAGATGCAAATGACAAGCACAATGCCAAATATAACTTATGATCATGCAAAAAGAGCTATAATGAAGCATTTATGCAAAATAAATACAACAGTTTAAGCAAGCGAATAAGAAATAATAGTCTCACACATTCCAACAAGAAAGGATGTAAGAAAATTATGCAATCTCAGCGAATCTAGTGAGCGTGTGTGATAGATACACAAAGCGAATGTGTGATAGATATACAAAGTGAACATAGTGTGATAGATACACAAGGAGAATGTGTGATAGATACACAAAGTGGGCAAAGTGAGCATAGTGTGATAGATACACAAAGCGAATGTGTAATGGATACACAAAGTGAGCATAGTGTGATAGATGCACTTAGTGAACAAAGTGTGATGGATAAACAAAAGATGAACAAAAAGTGTGATAGATGCACTAAGTGAACAAAGTGTGATGGATACACAAAAGGTGAACACAAAGTGTGATAGATGCACTTAGTGAACAAAGTGTGATGGATACACAAAAGGTGAACATAAAGTGTGATAGATGCACTTAGTGAACAAAGTGTAATGGATACACAAAAGGTGAACACAAAGTGTGATAGATGCACTTAGTGAACAAAGTACGATAGATACACTAAAGGTGAACGCAAAGTGTGATAGATGCACTAAGTGAACAAAGTATGATAGATACATAAAAGGTGAACACAAAGTGTGATAGATGCACTAAGTGAACAAAGTATGATAGATACACTAAAGTAAATGAAGTGTGATGGATAGACTAAAGTAAATGTAGTGTGATGGATATACTAAAGTAAATGAAGTGTGATGGATACACTAAATAAACAAAGTGTGATATAAAGAGAAGAATAGTGTGATAGATACACAAAGCGAAACATGTGTGATGGATACACAATATATGAACAAAGTGTGATAAATACACTAAGTAAAGCAATCTTAAATAGAACTTCTTTGAATGAACCGTACATACAAAATCGTCTGGTTGCGCCAGTTTCAAATGAACCGTACATACAATATCGTGCATAAATGAGAAAGAAACTTGATAGGTACAAAGTAATACAATGCATGATGTTTAAAGAATGAAATAAACAAACATAGCAGCACTTTAGAAAGCACCTCACAGAGTGAGTAGCGATAAACCGCTCTACTTTGACAGGGATCCCCTCTTGTGTTCTTCGAACACTTACCTTCAACTCACAGTACAAAGGTCCTGAAATGCTGACAAGTAGTAACATCTGTATGTAGAAGCTACGGATGCCGTTTTTCTTCCTGATCATATTCACAACTTTCCCTATTCTTCAACGGGGTGACAGACTAGGTTGGTTTAGTATCCAGAATTAAGGCGCACACACGTATCTCAACCTATGGCGCTTCCATACAGATTTCAAGCTGGGGATACACCCCTGGGTATTTAAACCAAACTTTAGTCTCGGAAATCCCGAACCTTTGCGTTCTAGGCAACAGCCATTTGAACTCTAGTTTCCACCGTTGCAGTTAGTCTCCTAGAAACTCATTGCAAACACAACCAAGATGCCCCTGGCAGGGACAGGTACTCGGGAGAGCACTTCTGATCGCCATTCTGGCTTGAAGCAGACTTGATCTTGAGCTTGAGGTAGAGGCACACTCATACTTTGGACCATTGGCAAGACCTAAAGAGGTACACATGGAATGCAATCTCGGAACTTACTGAAGTTGAAACAAACTCAGATGCTCGACATGTGATGCCCCGATTCTACACTATTGGTTGCAGTCAAGGGAGAGTCACTAATGAGTCCTATGGTCAATAACCATGTAAGATCCCAAATTGCCAGAGGAGTCAAATAGCCTCCCTTGTAAGTCCACCTTTCTTAGGCAGCGCACTACCCTTTTGACAGATCTTAAAAGGTATTGACACAAGGTCTCATAAGCAACGATAAGGTTCATACATAGAATATAAATACATAACAACCACAATATACTTAATTCAAAAGATGGTCCCATTACATTACATCCCAAAAGAAAGCTTAAGTCTTCACATGAGTCTTTACAAAATATCCAATAAGAAACTTCTAATTTTTCTAGGATAGCCAAAAGTCTTTGAAAGTTTTAGGCTCGTCATCTCCAGCTATGAGTTCCTCTTCATCACCTGGCATGATACGCCGTGAGCTTTGAATGCCCAGTAAACACACACACACACCCCGTCATTTTTTCCAGTCCAATACACAATCACAATTATAACGTCAAGTAGTAAAGCATGATACTCAAATAAATAAATAAAGGGTTAAGTTAGATGTTAGCAAACTAGAAATCCCCCAAAGAGATTTCGTCCTCCTAACCACAAGAATCAGACACGGATTATTCGGTATGCCCCCTCTTTTGCTGCTTTGTTGCAGAACTAACCTCAGATGCCTACCAACGGTTATGTACCGCGTAGCGCCAACCGCAGGGCGTCAAAAGAGACGGTAGAATAGGGCCTGGTCCGAATCCCTCCTCACACCAAACCACCTAGGGTCCGAATACAACCGCTCCATTCAAGGGTCCCGAAAACCACTTGCGCAAGACTTTAACTTCCAAATAGGGAACGCATCCCAACAAACCATATATCACATATTCTCGTCTTTTCATTACTCAAGTGCTCGAAAACCCAATACCCTCCCCATTAGGTTTCCCGTTGAGTTAAATGTTTTAAATCAAGGTTAGTCCAACTTATAAGACAATAATATCCATACAAGCATGCATTCTTAAGAGGAGAAAGGTAAATAACATAACCACAACACATATAATATCATGCCAAGATACGATCATAAGCTAATAAGAAATCTCATGAACTCAAGGGTATAAAACATCCGCACATAACACAATTTCCAGATTTAGTATCGCATAAAGATTAAAATGAACGGACTATTTTAGATCTTCCACCGGACTCGGCCTTCCTATGGCTCGTAGAGAATTTGATCTAGTTTCTAGAACATATTTTGGAAATTGGATTGCTCTTCTAGATTTCAAGTTATTTAGAAAACATTCCAGCGCTGTCCAGATTCTGTCCAGATCTGTCGACCGTTACGAAAATTTGATTTTCTTGCAAACCGCTTAATGTTTTTCGATGAAACCAATTTTAGTTGAAAGCTAACTCCTCAAGGAAGATTTTGACATAAAATAGAGGTTCAGAATAATTTTATACATTTTTCTAAAATTTTTGGAAGTGGGCTACGGAAAACAGATTCTAAGGTACCATGCCCAAAACAAGAAGTTTTATGAGAAAAGGGTTCCACCAAGGGAAATTTTTCGTTTCTTTTGTGAAGAAAAAATGCTAACTAACATATATTTAACTCAAAAAAATTTCTTGAAAGAGTGCCCTTGGAAAGTTGAGAGATTGGTATAAAAAAGGATGGTTTTGTGCCAAAATGGGAAAAATACAAGA